CCCCACAGAGGCCCCCCAGCCGATGCCCGAGGAGGGGGGGTTCAGTGCCGAGTCCGTCCAGGGCCCAGCACGGCAGCGCAGCATTCCCTGGGGAGCAGCGAGCCACGGCCCTGTCCCTGTCCCTTCTTTACCCAGATTTGTAGCCCACGAGCTGCATGAGGCCCTTCGTGCTCATGGACTTGGGTCTCTCCAGGGGGAAGCCCAGCGCCCGGCTCCAGATGAGCTGCGAGAGGACGCCCAGGGCCCGGGAGACCCCAAAAAGCACCGTGTAGTAGTTCATCTCCTTCATCCCGTAATACTGCAGGGGGAGAGGGGGCCCTGTTAGGGTAGGGCAGCCCCGCAGGAGGGGGCAGCCAGGACCCGACACCCCCTCAGGGAGCAGTGCTGGGGCAGGACCGGGACCCCCGGGCTCACCTGCAGCAGCACCCCGCTGTGGGCATCCACGTTGGGCCAGGGGTTCTTAGCCTTGCCCTGCTCCAGCAGCACATTGGGGACGATCTTGTAGAGCTGAGCCACCAGCTTGAACATGGGGTCCTTGGGCAGGTGCTTGAGGGCAAACTCCCGCTGGCAGGTGTAGCGGGGGTCCGTCTTCCGCAGCACCGCGTGCCCGTAGCCCGGCACCACCTACGTGGACACGGGTCAGAGCCTGGCACCAGCCCAGCCCCAGTCCCTTGTTCCCGGGCAGGGCCGGACTCACCCTGCCCGAGTTGAGCGTGTTCCAGATGAAATCCCGCAGCTTCTCATCCGACACCTCCTGGCCCAGCTCCTTCTGCAGGTTGGTCAGCCAGAGCAGCACCTCCTGCGGGTGCAGCAAACGGAAGAAGGGGTGAGAACAGCGGCACGCAGACGGACAGACAGACAGGCAGACAGACGCGTGGAGGTGCCCACCTGGTTGGCGAGGCCATGCAGGGGCCCGGCCAGCCCGTTCATGGCAGCGGCGAAGGCGAGGTACGGGTCGGAGAGGGCACTGCCGACCAGGTGACTGGTGTGGGCGCTCACGTTTCCCCCCTCATGGTCACTGCAGGGGCGAGGGGCCGCGTCAGGTCTCCCCCGTCCCCGCTGAGGGCCCCCACAGCTGCGGGGACACCCCCCACAGCAAACACCCCCCCCCCCCCCCCCCCGTGATGTACCCAGAACAGCACAGCCCTGCCCCAGGGCTGCCCGTGACCCCACACCAGGTGCCTGGTGACACCCCCAGAGCAGCCCAGGCATGTCCCAGGACCTGGCCCCATCCCTGGCCCTGGGGCTGGGAGCAGGGCCAAGTCCCCGCCTGCTCCAGCTGCTCCTCCCAGCCCTGCACCTGTGGATGGTGAGGTAGAGCCGCATCAGCTCGATGAACTGGGGGTCGGTGTAGCCCAGCATGTTGGTGAAGTTGTGGGACCAGTCGAGGTTGGGGTCGATGGCCCCGATGCTGCTGCCCTCACGGTACAGGTTGCGGTAGATCTTTGCAGCGACGCAAGGCAGCTTGGCGATCAGGTCCATGGCGTCCTCGTAGACAAACTGGGACAGGCGGGGTAAGACGGGGCGGCTGTCCTCCCTGGGGGGGCTTGAGCCACTGACCCCCCGCACCCAAATCTGCACCCATGCCCTGGCCCAAGCTCAGAGTTGGGGTGGCTGAGCCCCCCCCTACGCCGCACCGGGGCGCCTGGTCCCCCCATACCTCCCAGTACTTGACGCGGTGGATGCCCTCAGCGTAGGCGCGAGCAAACTTGCTCTCACTGTTGAGGGCGGTGATGGCGGCACTCAGCTGGGACATGGGGTGCAGGTTGGTGGGGAAGTTGTCCAGCATGGTCACCACGTGGGAGGGCAGCGCGGCACGCCGGGCCCACTCGCGGGAGAGCCAGCTCACCTGCAGGGTTCAAGGGGGTCTGAGCTGCAGGGCAGGGGGCTGGCAGACCCCCCCCACCCCCTGGACAGACCCCCTGCGTGTTACCTGCTCCTGGGTGGGCACCTCTCCGGTAACCAGCAGCCAGAAGAGCCCCTCGGGCAGCGGCTCCTCTCCCCCTGCGGCTTTGGGCAGCAGCTTCTGGCACTCGGGGATGCTGTAGCCGCGGAAGCGGATGCCCTAAAGAGCCCGGCACAAGCGTCAGCTGCTGCAGCGTCGCCCACCCAAGGTGGGTGCCTGAGCAGGGCAGGGTCAGGCCCTACCTCATCGGGATCCAGCACGGAGGTCTCATATATCAGGCCCTTCATGCCCCTCATCCCGCCGTACAACTGGAGAAGGGCAGAAGGAGGTAGTTACTGGCTGCGGCACAGCCCAGCAGCCCCGGCGTGGCACAGCATCCCCCCACTCACCATGTCCACCGTGATCTGCCCGATGGCCGTGCTGCCATGCTGCTGCCTGAAGCTCTTGACTTTTGCCTGCTCCTTGGGGATCATGCTGGCAAGGACGTCTTTCAGGTTCTGGGAAGAGGGGAGGGGGCCATGAGCCCTGGCACCCATGGGGGGGCCGAGCACATGCGCCCCCCTGCTAGCACCAGAGAGGGGTGACAGCAGCGGGGGCTCCTCTTACCGTGGCGGCACTGGCATGACGGGTGGCAAAGAGGACGCACGGTGCATTCTGCAGAAAAGCAAACACAGGGACTCGGTGTTACCCGGGGAGAGCCCTCCTGCGCATCTCGGCTGCCCTGTTTTGGAGGGGTGTAGCCATACAAGTGGCCCCCCCCCCCCCCCCGAAGCACCCCCACCCCCCCCCAGAACGCAGCACAGCTCCCGTAGCAGGAGCCGCCCCGTGACTCCCGTCTCACAAGGACGCTGCGCCCGGCAGCCACGGCGGCTTCCCTCGCCCACGCATGCTGGAGATCAGAGCCAGGCAGGTTCAGCCGGGCCAGGCAGCGCAGGGGGGCGGCGCGGGTCCCCTCGGCGCTGCATCGCGTTCATTCACATCACGCACAACGCCGGCCACGGCCGGAACCGCTGCAGAACCGGGCATTGCACCGAACAAACCCGGCAGTGGCAAACGCGGCCGCATTTTGCTTCCTGCTCTGCAGAGCGCGGAAGTGGCCGGCACGAGTGAACTGGTGCCGCCGGCAGAGCCCTGCCAGGCCAGCACCGCTGCGGTTTTCCTGCACTGGGGCTCGGCAGGCGCTGGGGAAACCGATCTTTGTTCCTCGCCCGCGCGTGGCAGCCGTGGGGACTCCGGCCGGCGGGAACACGCTGACGCAGTCGGGAAGCCCGGGCCTGGCATCACCCCTTGTCCCTGCCCGCTCTCCCTGGCAACACCCTGCCCGTGGCAGGGACACAGGGCTCGCCCATGCCCGAACCCACTCACAACCACCCAGGTGGGCAGCAAGGAGGGACAAAGAGGGCCGGGAGTCACATGGGGTCACCGCTGTGCTGAAAGGCCACATCCACACCCAGCATCCTGTGCCTTCCCCCGGCAGAGACCCCCAGAGCCGGGGCCAGCCCCCGGCGCGGAGCTGCGGCAGGGCCTGCGGCGCAGCCAGAACATGACTCTCTTTTTCCACTAGCTCCCAGGAGGGACGCAGAGGGGGGCCAGTGCTGCAGTGAGCCCCGAGCCCTGTGTACGGCCAACCCAGTGCCCCATGAGCCCCCAGCCCGGCTGGGGGCACCCCGACACCCCGAGCGTGGCTAGAACCGTCCGTCCACTCAGGGCGACTGCGCCACGTCCCCCCGCAACAGGCGGCACCTGGGAAGGGAAAATGCCAGCAGGAACAATGGAGGCAGCAGCTGGAAGCCCAAGGTCAAGGCGGCCGCTGCTGTCACTGCAGGAGCCCCCGCCGCACCCCGTCTCACCCCGTCCACGGGGCACCCGCACGGCTCGTTCCATCCGGGCCAGGCTGTCACAGAGATGCCGCTGGCTCAAGGTCACACGTGTTGGCGGTGACACCGAGCACCGGCTGACGGGGCTGGGACAGACCCAGCCGCTGCCGGACCCTCCTGGGTGCCCCCGCTGCAGTTTGGGGGTGCAGGAGCCCCCCCGGGCTGTGCCGGCCACGGCTCGGTGGAGGAGTGGCCACGGTGCAATAGCTCAGGCCACAGGGAGGAGGAGGAGGATGGTGGCAGGACGGTGGGTCGGGATTAGGGCGCAAGCCGGCGGGGTGGCCCTGGCTGCGGGGACAGCGGGTGTAGCGGTCCCCCCAGGCAAGCAGGGCCAAGTGGGGCACAACAACACACCGGGCCGGGCCCCGGCTCCCAAAATAACGCCCGGTCGATAGAGACACCGCAGTGGCCCTTATGAAACGCTGGGGCCGCAGCCAAGGCAAACGGGCGGGGGGGGGGACAGGGGCTGCCCCAGCACTGCACCGGTGCTCCGTCCCCCCCGGATCGCCCCCCCCAGCACAGCCCCGGGCCACACGGGGGGTCCCCTCGCTGTGACCCCGTTGCCCTCTACAGCACGGGGCCGCTGGGGAAGGTCGAGGGGGATGGCACAGGGGGGGACTCCTGCCCCCCCATCCCCTCACTGCCGGTGCCGCCCGGTGGGAGCCCCCGGGGCTG